ACAATCTTTATACTGGCACCGACTGACTCTGTCTCTGACGCCATACCGAGTTTCTTGGACAGAAACTGTGGTTGCCTGGCTTTGATCAGGGTCACTTGAGTTCAATGAGCTGTGGCTCATTTATGGTAGAAGTGCATTGTGGCACTGCAGCCTCGACCTCCCAGGCTCAAGTGATCCTCCCACCTCAGCCTCCCAAGCAGCTGGGACCACAGGCATGCGCCACCACGCCTGGCTAATTTTTGTATTTTTTGTAGAGACAGGGATTCACCACATTGCCCAGGCTGGTCTCGAACTCCTGACCATCTAGTGACAAGGGATGGCTTCTTTCTTTGACAAGGGAACCCTTCTAGCGGTGGGAGGTGCATTCCTTGAAGGAGAAGCCAGAGAACAGGTATCCCAGGCTATCTCCTCAGCTGCCTGTTCAAATCTATGCTAGGTTGGTGGGCTGCCTTGTGTTCTAGCTTGGCTGATAACATCTGGAGAAGAAATATTTGGTGATGTGTGAACACTTTGAAATTGAAATTTTGGTGTTAGTTTCCTAGGGCTGCTATAACAAAGTACCAGAAACCAGGTGGCTTAAAACGTAGAAACTTATTGTCCCATAGTTCTGGAGGCTTAGAAGTCCAAAATCAAGGTCACGGCCACTTTCCCTCTGCGTCTGCGTCCTCATATGGTGTTCTCCTCTTTATTTGTATCCACATTTCCCTCTGTTATTTTTTATTTATTTATTTATTTTTGGAGACAGGTTCCCGCTCTGTTGCCCAGGCTGATGTGCAGTGGTGCAATCACGGCTCACTGCAGCCTCCATCTCCCAGGCTCCTCCCCCATCAGCCTCCCAATAGCTGGGACTACAGAAGTGAGCCACTATGCTTGGCCCATTTCCCTCTTATATAGACATCAGTTCTATCGGATTACGGCCCACCCCAGTGACTTCACCTTAACCTGATTACATCTGCAAAGACCCTCTTTCCAAATAAGGTCACATTCACAGCTACAGGACTTCAATTTATATCTTAGGGAAATACAGTTCAACCCGGTTGTAAGTGTCTATGCTGGGTATGGTGGTGTGTACGTATAGTCCAGCTATGTAGGAGGCCAAGGCTGGAGGATCGCTTGAACCCAGGAGTTTGAGACCAGCCTGGGCAACATAGTGAGACCCTCATCTCAAAAAAAGAAAGACTAAAATGTCCATAAATAAAACGCAGTGGAAATACAGCCATGCTCATTCTATGGATAGCTGTGACAGAGACTATACAGAAAGCTTAATATATTTACTATCTAGGTCTTTACAGAAAAAGTGTGCCATTCCCTGCCTTAAAGGATGGGGTGGGAGTTCACAGGACAGAGAAGGCCAAGGGCGTCCTAGGCTGACAGGACAGCAAGGGCAACCACAGCGAAAGGTCAGCGGTGCAGCTGGTGGACGGTGGTTCTGGAGCTCTGGAAAACAAGGCATCTCCTGAGTTTGAGTTAAAATAGAAAGCATCTTAGGCCAGGCGCGGTGGGTCAAGCCTGTAATCCCAGCACTTTGGGAGGCCGAGACGGGTAGATCACAAGGTCAGGAGATCGAGACCATCCTGGCTAACACGGTGAAACCCCATCTCTACTAAGAAATACAAAAAACTAGCCGGGTGAGGTGGCGGGCGCCTGTAGTCCCAGCTACTCGGGAGGCTGAGGCAGGAGAATGGGGCCGGGAGGCAGAGCTTGCAGTGAGCTGAGATCCGGCCACTGCACTCTAGCCTGGGCGACAGAGCGAGACTCTGTCTCAAAAAAAAAAAAAAAAAAGAAAGCATCTTGAGTTGAACACCCTCAGAATCATGACTTCAGCTTTTCTCCTTGGTGGAGAGGACAGTGTGGGAACTGGAACCCTTTCACAGAAGCAGCCCAGGGCATTATCTGGAAAGAGAAGAGGCCTGGGAGGAGCCCAGGATGTCTGTGGAGTGACCTCAGCCGGTCCACTGGAGAGAAACCCAAGTCAGGCTGGCTGTTTTTCTCTGGGAGAGCCAAGGGAGCACCAGGGGCACTGCGTTGTTTGCTCCTTTCCTGTCTGATTGCATTTTCTCCGGCTGCCCCAGGGGACCTGTTTCTGAGCCTGATGGTCCACTTCCAGAGACCAGGCCTCCTGCAGCGGGAAATGTTTGGGAAGCCCCTTGTGATGCCTCCTGCCTGTCTGGTGGAGAGACTTCCCTTTTTCGTAGTAGCTGGCCTGTGAGTGGTGAGACCACAAAAGATCAAGGGACTCCCCGGAGGGCTCCCCTTTCCAGTGTGTTTGTCAGTTGGCTGTGCTCAGGGAGGCCTGGAGGACATTACCTGAGTTTGGCAAAAATGACCTCATAGTAACCTTGCTAGGTAGATACGGCAGGGGAAATTATCCCTGCTTGACTGTTGAGAAACTGCAGTTCAAAGAATGTTCGCTGATTTGCGTAAGATGGTATGGCTAGTCCTGCCGAGGCTAGGCTGCATCTCTGCCTTCTGCCATCCTGGCCCACCATTTCCTCCTTTCTTCCACCTGCCTCTTCTAGCTCAACCTTTCCCCCACTTTTTTTTTTTTTTTTTTTATGTTTGAGGCAGAGTCTCACTCTGTTGCCCAGGCTGGAGTGCAGTGTCATGATCACAGTTCACTGCAGCATTGACCTCCAGGGCTCAAGCAATCCTCCCACCTCAGCCTCCTGAGTAACTGGGAACACAGACGCACGCCACTACACCCAGCTAAGTTTTGTATTTTTTGTAGAGACAGTGGTCTCGCCATATTGTCCAGGCTGGTCTCAAACTCTGGGACTCAAGTGATCCTCCCACCTTGGCCTCCCAAAATGTTGGGATTACAGGCGTAAGCCACCACACTCAGCCCATTTCCCCTCTTTTTTTTTTTTTTTTGAGATGGAGTCTAGCTCTGTTGCCCAGGCTGGAGTGCAATGGCGTGATCTTGGCTCACTGCAACCTCTGCCTCCTGGGTTCAAGTGATTCTCCTACTTCAGCCTCCTGAGTAGCTGGGATTACAGGTGTGCACCACTATGCCCGGAGAATTTTTGTATATTTTTAGTACAGACGGGGTTTCACCATGTTGGTTGGGCTGGTCTCAAATTCCTGTCTTGGCCTCCCAAAGTTTGGGATTACAGGCATGAGCTTCACCTCTTTTAATTTATAAGATGACATAGCAGCATTAAAGATAAACATTTAAACAAAAATCTCTCGGCTGGGCATGGTGGCTCACATCTGTAATCCCAGCACTTTGGGAGGCCGAGGCGGGTAGATCACGAGGTCAGGAGATCGAGACCATCCTAGCTAACATGGTGAAACCCCATCTCTACTAAAAAAAATACAAAATATTAGCTGGGCGTGGTGGTGGGCACCTATAATTCCAGGTGCTTGGGAGGCTGAGGCAGGAGAATGGCGTGAACCTGGGAGGCGGAGCTTGCAGTAAGCTGAGACTGCACCACTGCACTCCAACCTGGGTGACAGAGCAAGACTCTGTCTCAAGAAAAAAGAAAAGAAAAGAAAGAAAAGAAAATCTCTCAAATATCACCGTTTATATAACACATTTCTATATATGCACATGTGTGCTTTAAAAAACAGCTCTAGGCTGGGAGTGGTGGCTCACCCCTGTAATCCCAGCACTTTGGGAGGCTGAGGCGGGTGGATCACCTGAGGTCAGGAGTTTGAGACCAGCCTGGCCAACATGGTTAAACCCTGTCTCTACTAAAAATACAAAATTAGCCAGATGTGGTGGCACACACCTATAATCCCAGCTACTTGGGAGGCTGAGGCAGGAGAATCGCTTGAACCTGGGAGGTGGGAGTTACAGTGAGCCGAGATCGAGATAGCGCCATTGCACTCCAGCCTGGGCAACAAGAGTGAAACTCTGTCTCAAAAAAAAAAAAAGAAAAAGAAAAGAAAAGAAAAAAAAACCCAGCTGTAGTAAAATTGTAATTTATAATTGTGGTAACATTGTATAGCACAAAACACACAAGTATAAGTAACATTTGGGAAATCTGCATTAGATCAGCAGGTTACATCCCTGTCAACATGCTGGTTGTGATATTGTACTATAGTTCTGCAAGATGTTACTATTGGGGAAAACTGGGTAGAGGTGGGATCTCTGTATCATTTCTTTTCTTTTTTTTTTTTTTTTTTTTGAGATGGAGTCTGGCTCTGTCACCAAGCTGGAATGCAGTGGTGCGATCTCGGCTCACTGTAACCTCCACCTCCCAGGTTCAAGCGATTCTCCTGCCTCAGCATCCCAAGTAGCTGGGACTACAGGCACATGCCACCATGCCTGGCTAATTTTTGTATTTTTAGTAGAGATGGAGTTTCACCGTGTTGGCCAGGATGTTCTCAATCTCTTGACCTTATGATCTGCCCGCCTCAGACTCCCAAAGTGTTGGGATTACAGGCGTGAGCCACCATGCCTGGCCTATGCTTTCTTATAACTGCATGTGAATCTGCAAGTATCTATATAACATTTTCGATTAAAAGAAAAAGCAATTCTGAAGGAGTTGAGATCCATGAGAATGTACCATTTCATGTTAAACCATTTTTCATTAAGATTGCATTATAAACATTTCCCCGTGTTTCTACAGACCTTGCAATAATCACTCACTGGCTACGCGGCATTCCATCTAGTGGGTATAAAACCTTTCCCTTAACCATTCCCCCTTGCTAGGTGAGGTTGTTTTCAATTTTTAGCTCCTGCTAATAATGCCATGATGAACATGATTATGCCTAGGGCACGTTTATTCTTTTGAATTATTTTATTAGGCTACATTCCCAGGGAGTGGGATGCCTGGGTATAAGGTTCTGGACCTTTATGACTGTATTAGGTATTATTAATTTAATATTATGTCTTTATTATTGCCCTTTCTAAGGTACAGATCGGCTTTTCCCCAAGTGAGCAAAAGTTCTCTGGCGCGCCTTTCAGCATTCAGATTTGTGGGGGAGAACCAAGGCCCCCCACCTGTTGCCGCCTGCACAGTGTCCGGCCAGAGATTTGAGTGGCAGAATGGCAGGGGCAGTAGAGTGCAGCTAGAGGAGCAGTCACGGGCGTTACCCTCCCACGGGGCCCGGGCGGGCGTCCGGGGACCTCCTGGGACTCGGTGGCGCGGACGACCTTCTCCCCAGAGAGACAGAGCAGCAGCGACCCTGAGGGGCCCTTCTGGGCCATGAGGGCGCGAGGCTTTCTTGAAAACAGAGCAGCCTCTGCTTACCCTGCAGGCGCTCTGGAGCTGCAGGAGGCCGTTTCCAGAAAGCACCGGATTCAGCCTAAAGCAGTGGTGAGACCGCTGCGTCCCTCTGGCTCCCGGTGGGGAGGCCCTGGGTCCCGGGCCCCAAGGCTCGCGGGCGATCGCCGCCTGGGAGGCGCCGCTGGGGAAGCCCGAGGCCCGGGCGTCCCCAGAGCCGTCAGCGGCTCTGCGTCCCAGTCCCGGGCGAGCGCCGTGCAGAGGGCCGGGTACCCAGCGCCTGGGTGGGGAAGCGCGGCCTCGCCATCTTGCTGGGCCGCGGGCGCTCGGCGCAGGCGTGGGCGCCTGTGCAGTGTTCACCTCTTTTGGATTTTATTCTCATGTTTCATTTAATGTAACTCATTTAAAAATTTTTTCTTTTACTTTTTCTTTCATTTTAGTTTTGTTTTAAATTTTATTGATTTATTTCATTAAATTTAAATTTTGTTAATTTAATTTTAGTTTTAGGGTTGGTTCCCCCCCCACCCAGTTTGGATTGCCCGATTAAATGCAGGACGTCCAGTTAAATTCAAATTTTAGATAAGCAACAGATACATTTTTAGTATAAATCTATCCTGTTTAGGATGTCCTACTTAGTATCAGAATGTCACCAGCGTTTTGTCCTGGTTTTTTGTTTGTTTTTTGAGACAAGGCCTTGTTTTGTTGCCCAGGCTGGGGTGCAGTGGCAAAATCATAGTTTACTGCAGCCTCCAACTCCTGGACTCAAGGGATCCTCCTGCCTCAGCCTCCAGAATAGATGTATACCACTACACTCAGCTAGTCTTTGTATTTTTTTGTAGAGATGGGGTCTCACTATGTTGCCCAAGCTAGTCTCAAACTCCTGGGCTCAAGTGATTCTCCTGCCTTGGTCTCCCAAATTGCTGGGATTCCAGGCATGAGCCACCACTCCTGGCCTGGCCTGTATTTTTATTTGCTAAATCTGGCAACCCAATTTGTGGTAGAACCCCTTCTTTGGAGGACATCTGACTCAGAACCCTAATACCTACCCAATGACAGTGGGTGGTCTGTGTGAACTGGGGCCAGGACCAGGGGGTGCAGGAATGTGAGTGTCACCCAGTGTCTCCTAGATTGGCCTGAGGAACCCCCTGAGCAGAACTGACCAACTGAAGCTCTCTTAAGCGGCTGAACTCCCCGAGGGCAAGTCAGCAATAGCCTCACCAGATAGGCTCTGTACATTGGATTATTCCAGCCATGGCTGGCTCCTGTCCTCTCAAAAGTCCCTCACGGGCTGTGCGCGGTGGCTCATGCCTGTAATTCCAACACTTTGAGAGGCCTCACTTGAGACCAGGAGTTCAAGACCAGCCTGTCCAACATGGCGAAACCCCGTCTCCACTAAAAATACAAAAAATTAGCCAGGCATGGTGGCACACGCCTTTAATCCCAGCTACTTGGGAGTCTGAGGCACAAGAATGGCTTGAACCTGGGAGGTGGAGCTTGCAGTGAACCAAGATCGGGCCACTGCACTCCAGCCTGGGCGACAGAGCGAGACTCTGTCTCAAAAAAAAAAAAAAAATCCCTCAGGCCTATATCCTGTGAGCAACAAGCTCTGAAGGAGGGGCCCAGGTCTGCCACTATGGGATGTGGGCAAGTCACTGGCCTCAGTTTCTCCATCTGTGAAATGGGGCTGTTGTTTGGACTACTGGAGATAAGCTATGTGAAAGTGCCTGGTGAACCTGGAAACCCAGAGACTCTAAAGCATGCTTTTTCTTGTCAGCTTTACTGAGGCATAATTCACAAACAGTGACATTCTCCAATTTTAAATATGCAACTCAATGCATTTTGACTGATGTTTACAGTTGTATGACCACCACAATTGCATATATATATATACACACACACATATATATGTATATATGTATTTGAGGTCAACAAACATGTGCTGAGCATCTGCTATATCCTAAGCTCTAGGGTGTGCCAGGTACCCAGCTCACAGAGTTGAAGGCCACAGCCCTTCTTTGAGGAATTCCGGGTCTGGTGGAGAAGCGGACCACGTGTACTTGACCACCACACACCTATGTGAGCAGCAGCTCAGGAAGGAACACGGGGGCCAGCGAGGTATGAGGCCACTCTTCTGGCTCTAACGCCCTAAGCATTTAGTCTGGCCACCTCTAACACAGCCACATCAAGCCCTCAGTCCCACCCTTACTGGGTCCAGAATACCTGTGCAAAGCCACATCCTTTTTCCTCTTTTATCTGGCAGAGGCTCATTCCTCTCCATGTTTCAACGCCCAACCCAGATGTTGCCTCCTCTGAGAAGCCACACTGATTTTCCTGGTGATTCTGGGACAGATTTGTGGCTCCTGCTCATTGGGCCTGCAGGTGCTGAGGGCTGGAGGGAGGCAGAGTCTTAAAAAGGGGGCACCCAGTGGGAAGGGCCATGGGATGGGTCAGGGGAGGATCATGTCCTGTAACAGGAGATGCGAACGGCAGGGCGGGATGTGGAGGTTCAGGGCCAGCCCAGGAGGCTGGGGGCCAGGGCTCAGGGTGCAGGTGGGGGTCCGAGCAGCCTTCCTTCTGGGCCCGTCTGCCCAGCCAGGAGAATCTGTCGGTACCTGGAGAGAACCAGGGCAGGGGGAGGATGAAGGTGTGCACAGCGGGTGGTGCGACCGACAGGAAGGGGCCCCGCCTGCAGATCTTCCCCATCTCGCGTGAACCAAGGAGTTATAGTTAGAAGGCACCCATTCAAGTCCTCATTCAGCAAGTGCCACGCAGGCTCCTGGCTACCTCCCTGTGCCCAGGAGGGTGGTTAGTGGTGGGTGGTGGGCAGAGTTGGCCCAAACTCTGCTGTCATCTCTGAGGCTTTTCCAGACTCTGGCTCTGTGCCTTGTGCTACGTTAGCCCATGGGAGCCTGGATTCTGAGACTGAGGTCTTATGGGATGTCATTTGTCCTGGGGCAGAAAGATGGGATGGGAGAGTGGCCGTGGAAACAGAGAATAGTTCTGTTCTCACTATCCCTCCTGTCAGTTTTGCCTTTTAAGTAAATCTGGAATCCATTTGTTTCTTTTCAGCTAGCAGTGCCACCATTCCAGCGGCACCATGTTGTACCTGGATGGCCACGGATCTCCCCATAACTCACTTATGCCCTTGTGGTCAGTTCAGGCCACTGCAGTCTGCGTGATCTGAAAGCAGTAGTAGTAGTAGTAGCAGCAGCAGCAGCAGCAGCGGCGGCGGCGGCGGCGGCGGCGGCGGCGGCGGCGGCGACTTTTGGTACTATTTCAAAAAGTAGGTGGGGTGTGGTGGCTCAGGTCTGTAATCCCAGCACTTTGGGAGGCCAAGGCAGGAGGATCGCTTGAGCTCAGGAGCCTGAGACCAGCCTGGGCAACATAGCGAGACCTTATCTCTACTGAAAAACAACAACAACAACAATTAGCCAGGTGTGGTGACACGGGCCTGTAGTCGCAGCTACTCAGGAGGCTGAGGTGGGAGGATTGCTTGAGCCTGGGAGATTCAGGCTGTAGCGAGCTATAATCGCACCATGGCACTCCCACTTGGGCAACAGAGTAAGACCCTGTCTCAAAAAGCAAGCAAACAAACAATGATTAAAAGCAAAACAAAACAAAACAAAAAACCCTCAAAAGCAATACCTTCTTTTTTGGAGACAGAGTCTTACTCTGCCATTCAGGCTGGAGTGCAGTGGTGCAGTCTTGGCTCATTGCCACCTCCGACTCCCAGGTTCAAGCGATTCTCCTGCCTCAGCTTCCCGAGTAGCTGGGATTACAGGTGCGCATCACTGCACCCAGCTAATTTTTGTATTTTTAGCAGAGACGGGGTTTCGCCATGTTGGCTGGGTTGGTCTTGAACTCCTAACCTCAGGTGATCCACCTGCCTCAGCCTCTCAAAGTTCTGGGATTACAGGCATGAGCCATGCACCTCGCCTCAAAAGCAATACCTTCTTATGGCAATAACTCAAATACTAAAATAGGATTTTAGGTAAAAGTCAAAGACAGATCCCCTTTTCCCTCACCCCCAACCTCCAGCCTGCTTCTCAGAGCAGCTTGTTCATTCTGTAACACTTCTGATTTTTTTCAAAGTCTGTCAGTGATTTTCTACGTGTGTGTACATATAATTGCGTGTATATCGTTCTATAGGTGCGTATGTATGTAACCTTAAAAATCAAATGATCCGGACTTCGGCACTGTGTCTTCTTCATTTGAAAGTGCCTGCTGGGGCTCTGTTCACATCAACATGCCTGAGGATTGCCGTCCTTGTTTCTCAGCGTTTTGCTCTTACAGATAATGCTGCAGTGAAATCAATCCTTAGACGTGGAATTGCAGGCTTCCAGGGATGCGCACTTAAAATGTTGATAGCTAGTGCAAATTGCCTTTCACAATGGCTCTACTGATTTCCATTTGCATAAATAATCCAATCTTTCTCCTCACTCTTAAAAACGCTTCCCCATCTGATAGGTGAAAAATGGCATCTTACCTTCATTTGTCTTTTAAAAATTATGAGGCCAAGCGCAGTGGCTCATGCCTGTAATCCCAGCACTTTGGGAGGCCGAGGCGGGAGAATCACTTGAGGTCAAGAGTTCGAGACCAGCCTGGCCAACATGATGAAACACTGTCTCTACTAAAAATTCCAAAAAAGAAAAGAAAATTAGCCGGGCATGGTGGTGGGCACCTGTAGTCCCAGCTACTCAGGAGGCTGAGGCAGGAGAATCACTTGAACCCAGGAGGCAGAGGTTGCAGTGAGCCAAGATTGCACCACTGCACTCCAGGCTGGGTAACAGAGTGAAACTCTGTCTCAAAAAAAAAAAAAAAAAAAAAAAGAAAAGAAAAAATTATGAGTGAAGTGGAGCATTTGACATATCTCTTATACATGTGAATCTTTTTCTGCTGTGTGTTCTCTTGCTTCTTCTTTCCATTGGGTTCTTTATCTGTGGTTTATTGATTTCTTTTCTTTTCTTTTTTCTTTTCTTTTCTTAGATGGAGTCTTGCTCTGTCAGCCAGGCTGGAGTGCAGTAGCGTGATTATCTCGGTTCACTGCAACCTCCACCTCCTGAGTTCAAGTAATTCTCCTGCCTCAGCCTTCTGAGTAGCTGGAGTTACAGGTGCCCGCCACCATGCCTGGCTAATTTTTGTATTCTTAGAAGAGACGGAGTTTTGCCATATTGGCCAGGCTGGTCTCGAACTCCTGAGCTCAAGTGATCCTCCTGCCTTGGCCTCCCTAAATTCTGGGATTATAGGCGTGAGCCACCACGCCCGGCCAGTTTATTGATTTCTTTTTTTCTTTTCTTTTCTTTTTTTTTTAAAATGGAGTCTCCCTCTTGTTGCCCAGGCTGGAGTGCAATGGTGGGATCTTGGCTCACTGCAACCTCTGCCTCCTGGGTTCAAGCGATTTTCTTGCCTCAGCCTCCAAAGTAGCTGGGATTACAGACATGAGCCACCATGCCCGGCCTGGTTTTTTTGATTTCTAAGCATTCTTTGTAGTTGAGGAATTGGCACATGGACTCTCACATTGTGGCAAATGTTTCCCCCAACTAATCTGTTGTCTTTATGTATTTTTGTCATAAGGAGTTTTACATCTTTTAGACTCAAAGTAAGAATAGAGTCATGTTTTGTTCTCATGCACTGATGATTCCACTTGTACATTTACGTTTTTGGTCTACCTGCAGTTTATTTTGATGTCAAGGAGAAAGGTGTGGATCCACATTTAATTGTTTTCTAGGTGGCCAGTCATTTCCCCAATACTATTTACTGAATAATCCATTTTCCTGACTGCTGTCATTCTTCCTTTATCATATTCTAAATTTCCACATATAGTTGGGTCTATTTCAGTGTCTCTGTGGTGTTCTGTTAATCTTACTGCCTATTCTTGTACGTGTGCCAAATTGCTTTATTTCTTCCAGGTTTCTAATGTATTTTTACTATGCGGTAGGGTTACTTTTTAGAGATTTACTGGCTATCTGCACTTAATGTATTTTCCAGATGAATTTTCGTGTTATTTTATGGGTCTAGTGGGAAGGAAGCATGAAACACATCATTATAAAAGTCATTTAATCATATTGTCATAAGTGCTGCGGAGGGAATTGGGAAAGGAGATAACATGGGCCCTAAAATTTGGGTTTTATATATCTGGCAAATATATAGGTAAATTTAAGGAGTCTTAACATTTCCACAATACTGACTTTTGTTTAAAACAAAATGTGTTTTTCCATTTATGCAAGTCTTCTTTTATGTCCCTCAGTCAAGTTTACAACTTTTCTTTAGAGATGTTTTACATACTCCTTGATAAATCAATTTCCAAACAGTTTGTTCTTTGTGTCGCTCTTATGAATGGACTCTTTTCTTCCAGTCAGTGTATTTTCTAACTGGTAATGTCGTTAGAGGGGACTTTTCTAAAAGGCCAGTTGCGCTCGAAAGTGCTCTGCCTCTTCAGTGGGTTCCTGTTCCTGCAAGGATCTCCCACACTTCCTCACTGGCGGACAAAGTCCTGTGAGGTCTGGCCTGCTCCCCTTCTCCCCTTCCTCCTCTGTTCTGTGTGCTTAGGTGCTCACACGGTGCTCTCTGACTGCCGGGTCAGGTGGCTCCTCCGTACCCCTGAGTTCTTCGCTTAAAGAAGACTTCCTCAGGGAAGTGGATCTGGGATTGAGCCGGGGCTCCTGTGAATGCTCCCGTACGACAGTGTGATGAGAATCATTCCTGTGGTCGTGTGTTCCGTGCTGCCTCTCCACAGCCTGTACTCCAGGAGGGCACAGGGCTCTGCCTGTCTCCTTCCTTCTCTTCCTCTCCTTCTTCCTTCTCTTCTTCTTCTTTCTTCTGTCTTCCTTCTTCTTTCTTTTTTCTTCTTTGATAGGGTCTTGCTTTGTAGCTCAGACTGCAGTGCAGTGGCGCAATCATGGTTCCCTGCAGCCTTGACCTCCTGGGCTCAAGTGATCTCTTGCCCCAGCCTCCCAAGTAGCTGGTAGCATGCATGTGCCACCATGCCTGACTAATTTTTTTAAATTTTTGTACAGATAGGAGTCTCACTATGTTGCCCAGGCTAGTCTCAAACCCCTGGGCTCAAGGTAATCCTCCTGCTTCAGCACTCCCAAAGGGCTGGGGATTACAGACATGCGCCTCTGCACCTGGCCTGCCTATCTTCCTCACTGTCTCCTTAGCTGTTGAGTAAATTCACAGTATTGGGAATGGAAGTTGCATGCCCTGTTTTCTGGCCTGGGGCTTCCTGGCATCCTGGACTTGGGGACAGTGAAAACTCATCTGGCTGGCAGGCGTCTCAGCCAGCTTCCCTCACTCTTGCCAAAAAAGAGACTGAAAGCTGAAAGCTTCATTGTTTTGTTTTGTTTTGTTTTCTGTTTTTTTTTTTGTTGTTTTGTTTTGTTTTGTTTTTTTTGAGATGGAGTCTTGCTCTGTTGCCCAGGCTGGAGTGCAGTGGCAAATTTTTGTATTTTTAGTAGAGATGGGGGTTTCACCAGATTGGTCAGGCTGGTCTCGAACTCCTGACCTCAGGTGAGCCACCCACCTTGGCCTCCCAAAGTGCTAGTATACAAGCGAACTGAAAGCTGCTGCTGCTGCTTCTTCTCCTTCTCCTTCTCCTTCTCCTTCTCCTTCTTTCTTCTTTCTTCTTCTTCTTTTTTTTTTGAGACAGAGTTTCACTCTTGTTGTCTAGGCTGGAGTGCAGTGGCACGATCTTGGCTCACTGCAACCTCTGCCTCCCAGGTTCAAGTGATTCTCCTGCCTCAGCCTCCCAAGTAGCTGGAATTACAGGCGTGTGCCACCACACCCAGCTAATTTTTGTATTTTTAGAAGAGACAGGCCAGGCTGGTCTCAAACTCCAGACTTCAGGTGATCCACCTGCCTCAGCCTCCCAAAGTGCTGGAATTACAGGTGTGAGCCACCGTGCCCCGCAGACACAGTGGTTTTTAATTGTTTTGTTCACAGCCATTGCCTGAGACAGTACACGCTTGGTAAACACTTCACTGAATCAGTGAACTAGGTTTAAAATAGGCATGAGTGAAAGCTCCTGTGGCAGAAAGGGTATCAAGGTAATGGAATTACTTTGTATTCCTGTATTATATGTCTCCCAGGATGTCTTTAAGGGAATTAAGGAACTTGTAAAATAAAAAAAATAAATTCCCTTTTGTTTTGTTTCCCGTGATGGCACTGCACCAGGTGGCCACCAGAGGGCAGGGCTGCCCTACTGTCAGGAATTGTAACCTGCAGACTAAGTCTTCTAGTCTTAATGCAGGGCTTTAGGTATAGGTCACAGAGCCTCCCACCTGGGGATCTTCACGGTGACAAGAATCAATCCCCATTTCTCCCTCACTGAATCTCGGCT